TTTCCAAAAGGAAAAAAAAAGTTTTTGCACTCTACAAGCCTCCCGAAAATGGGCCCGTTTTTTCCCCCCAAAGACATGAATAGCCTGGGGGGGGGGGGCTTGCAGAGTGCTCCGGGGGAGGCAAAAATAAGCAAAAAACTGCCCATTTTTTTGTGAAAACGGGCCCGTTTTTTGGAAAAAAAAAATTCCATGCATACCCTTATGGAGGCTTATAGAGTGCTGCTGGAGATGGGAGAGGGTTAAAAATGGTCTGTTTTTTGCTCATTTCTGCCCTCCCCAGCCCCCAGGAGCTCTCTGAAAGCTTCCATAAGGGTATGCATGGTCATTTTGGTGAAGGGGCGGGGCTTCGGGAGGCAAGAAATGCTGTATTTGGGGTATAAGACACACCCAGATTTTCAGCCTCCTTTTTGAGGAAAAAAGGTGCATCTTATACTCTGAAAAATACGGTATCTTAAAGGCACAGTGGGATGTGGGCAGGATGCTGCTGTTCCAGAGAAGCAACCAAGCACCTTATCTGGTTGGAGGTATTTAAGAAGCTTCAAGCTCATTGTCTGAGCAGGATCCCCAAAAATATACATAAACATACAGTCACAAGTGGAGGTGAAATATAACAGATTAATTCTGGGGCTACTGCTGTGATGTAAAAGAGGACTTGCCAGAAACCAAGAGGACGATTGCCAAGCAAATTAGCTTGATTTAATTCAGAGGCTTAATAAAGCGTTCTGCATAATGTGTTCCTCTTTTTTTAAAAGAAATGGAGTAAGACACACATATCTTTCAATTCAAGGTCTTGGTAATCACCTTTAAAGCCCTTCATGACATCGGTCAAGGTTACCTAAGGCAGTGGTCTCCAACCTTCTAGGAGTTGAAGTCCACAAGTCTTAAAGTTGCCAAGGTTGGAGACCACTGACCTAAGGGACTGCCTCAGCTTCCCCTGGGATTGGTCAACCCCACCCGTGCTGGAAGAGGAGGTATGTTGAGGGCCCCACTGGTCAGGGAATTCCAGCTGGTGGGGTCCAGAAGGGCCTTCTCTGCCATTGCACCTGCCCTCTGGAACATCTTGCCCCCTGGAGTCAGGTCCTCTCCAACCCTCCTGACTTTCTGCAGGAACCTAAAGACCCAGCTCTGCTAATTGGCTGAGGCTCCAAAGGAATGGCTTCCCATTGGAGGTGGCTGATAGATTAATATCAGATTCCATTTCCTCCCCCTGCTCATCCACTTCCCTCCCTCCCCATCTTTTAGCTATGACTGTGTATTGCCTTTTGTATTATTTTTATATGGTTTTATCTTTTTAATATTATAAAATGCCCACGGTTACCCTGTGGCAAGATAAATGTGATAGATAGATAGATAGATAGATAGATAGATAGATAGATAGATAGATAGATAGATAGATAGATAGATAGATAGATANCCCGCGGGACACTGCAACTGTCATAAATATGAACCAGTTGCCAAGCGTCTGAATTTTGATGACTTGATCATGGGGATGCTGGAATGGTCATAAGTGTGAAAAACGGCCCTAAGTCACTTTTTTTCAGTGCCATTGTAACTTTGAATGGTCACTAAATGAACTGTTGTTAAGTCGAGGACTACTTCACTTCTCTGCAAGAACATATATACTCCTGCATCTCTGTTGTTCTACAGGGACGGTAAACAGTAACACTGAAAAATGCTCACTATTTTTAATGAACATACAGACGTGTCCAAATGTACAGGAAAATATATATTCACAAGAGCGCCATAAATACACTGTCAACAAACAGCAGAGCAGAATACTGGGTTTTAAACTGAGAAGAGCTGCCACTGATGCTGGGAGATAATTTAGCCAATTCCACCAATACAACCTAAGTTTGTTTGTGGCTAAGACACCCTAAGATATCCACGTGGAGAAAATGAAAAGGGTGTTCTAAAAGAATTTTGAACCCAAATACTTCTATCACCCTTCCATCATTTTCTCAAAAGAAACCCGTTTTTGGTTAAAAACAGAATTTGATTTTTTTAGGTCGCCGTTGGTCGAAGAGATCTTCAATTGGTGGCCAACGATTCCACATGCTCCAAAAATAAAGTCCAAGGTTTTTGCATCAGACAGTGTGTTTGTTTTGACGGTGGTACAGAATAAGGGACAGTTTCACATTCTTGTGATGAAATTTATAGGACACCGTTTCTTTGCTAGTCTCAGAAGAGATGCTCAAAGACTCCTAACTAACGGCTAATTGCTTCATCGACGCTGGTTCAGGCCGCTGAGATTCTTGAACTGTCAAGACACAAAAACAATAAAACATTTTTTTTTAAAGGTGAGGGAGACCATGAGAAAGTTAGAAGCTGCAAGCATGCAAAATAGGATACTGTTTGTCATTTCGGAACAGTGATCTTCCCAACACTGCTTGATTGAAGCAACACTGCTTAAAACCATCTATTTGCCAAAACTGGCATCTCAGTTCATAGCGGATGTTAAGGGATCCCCCAAACACCTGGTGATTGCTTTGGGAAACAGGAATGCAATATTTGATGTCAAATATGTGCCAGTTTTCGTGTCTAAGGTGAGACTAGAACTCACCATCTCCTGGTGATTGACCCAAAGTCACCTAACCAGTTTTCGTGCCTAAGACAGGATTAGAATTCACCATCTCCTGGGGATTGACTGAGTTACCCAGCCAGCTTTCATCCCTAAAGTGGGACTAGAACTCACCATCTCCTGGGGATTAACCCAAAATACCTAGCCAGCTTTCATGCCTAAAAGAGGACTAAAACTCACCATCTCCTGCTGATTGACCCCAAATTACCCAGCTAGCTTTCATGCCTAAAACAGGACTAGAACTCCCAGTCTCCTGGTGAGTGACCCAAAATTACCCAGCCAGCTTTGATGCCTAAGATGGGACTAGAACTCAGTCTACTGGTTTCCAGCCTGATGCCTTAACCCCAAGATCAAAATGCCATGCCAAGAATAAACTCCAAATAGAAACTTCTGGACTTCTTGAGTAAACTGGCTAAGGAATGTAACAAAATGTTAGGCTGGAATTCAAGCACCTTTCCTGCATTCTACTATTAAGTCACCTAACCCCATTAAAAGAAATGAATGTTTCTTCCTTTAAATTAACTGGGAAATCAATTCAGAGGAAGGGGCTTGCTGCACATTGTCTGTTTCTGCACAGATCCTTCTGAGATGAAAAGCACTCTGCTGAAACTACTTATCCCTGGGAATTATTTTGGGAAAATTCATTATTTAGGGCAGCTCACATGTCCCACCCCCAACCCCTTTTAAATAAACCATGATGCTTTGCTGTGTTTTTTTCCCATTCTGTAACAGGAGAAACATTCTGGAGGGAAACAATGTTTCGGAGCAAAGGCTGTGGAAAATCCGGTGTCTGGAATTACTCACAGTAACAGCAGCGCCCATAAGTCCCTGAAGGAGGGCCTCTCCGGTTGCCTTAACCTAGAGGAATAAAACCACAGAGATGGAAAACTTCAACTACAAGCTGGCTTTTACATTTCGGGGGGAAAGCAATCAGGAAGCATCCTAAATGCTGCACACGATTCCTTAACAACCACAACTTGAACTGTCATTGTACACTGAAGATCGCACTTAATTTCGTTGTACAAGGTGCTATGACAATAAAGTAAACTAAACTAAATCCAGCCACAGTGGTGCTCTCCTGATGTGCTGAAGTCCCAGTATTTCCTACCAAGCATACAGGCGGTCCTTGGCTTACGACGGTACCACGCCTGACAAAGCAGACCATCATGTGACCCAATGGGAGGGCCTTTATTTGCAGCCGTCATTAAGCGAATGCAGTGAGTGGTGAAGTGGAGTAGGCACACTCACCTCACAATCAGGAGGTTTTGATTTTGATCCTAGGTAGAGGCAGATTATTTCTCTCTCTCGGCACAGTGAGAATATATCTGCTGGAGGGAAAAACTCTGCCCTGGAGACAGGAAGGGCATCTGGCTAGTAAACATCCAGCTCCATTCAGTTGCCCAGACACCAGCCCGCAAGGGATTATGGGGTCATTAAAAGAAGATGATGATTAAGCAAATGCAGTCATTGTAAAGCAAACACCATGGTCATTGAGCCAACGCATTGTTTGCTATTTTTGCTGTAAACCAAAAGCAGACACTTTGCAGTCACATGACCACAAGGCACCAGAAACGACCACAAATGCAGTTGCGGAGAGCCCAAAATGTGGCCATGGGGTCACGGGAAGGCTCTGTGGCCATCAGAACCTCAGAACTACAGGGCGGGGCATAACCTTTTCCTAGGGGGTCACAGCAACACTTGTAATAACAACACAAATAATTCATACACCATTCGAAAGCCCANCAATACATTCCACAATCCTACTCCTGTCTATTGCCCCCTCCCATCAACTATACTAATGAAACAGCATAATGAAATATGAGGAAGTGTGGCAGGCCAAAATTCTAAAAGGAATATAATTGCAGGCCTGACAAATGGTTGGAAACTGATCAAAGACAGAAGCAGCCTGAAATTAAGGAGAAGCTTCCTAACAGTGAGGACAATTAACCAGTGGAACAGTTTGCCTCCAGAAATCGTGGGCGCTCCATCACTGGAGGTTTTTAAGTCACTTGTCTAAAATGGTATAGGGTCTCCTACTTGAGCAGGGAGCTGGACTAAAAGACCTCCAAGGTCCCTTCCAATTGTTATACTATTATATTTTCTATTCTATTCTTCATTCCAATATTTATTCCATTCTATTCTTCATTCCAATATTTATTCTATTCTATTTTAATTATATTCTATTCTAGATTAGTCTAGTCTATATTCTATTCTTTATATTCTATTTCTATTCTATTCTATTCTATATTTTATTCTTTCTAATCTATTTTAATTCTCTTCTATTCTCTCTACTTCTGTCACAGAACTAATTACCACTGCCCTAGTGCACTGCACTATAACCCTGAACATAAAAGTGTTCGCTGAAGAGGAACAGAAGCTTTGCCAGAAAAGCTACTGCAAAGTTATCTGTGGCGAATAGACGTAATGAGCCATGTCCAGAATTTCCTTCAAGGGTAACAGAAACTTAAGTAAGAAAAATCTACATACATATAAAGAGGCACAATAAGAAATGGGCTGCTTTGCACTCGCTTCGGTGATGCTAGAAGCATTTTTGGCCATGGCTCTGCACGTTGTGGTTTCATTACTTCAAAGCACAGATCTAATGGTCGTATCCCCCTGTGATCACTGTAGATTCTCTACCCTGGAGACCTTTGGATTGCCTCTTTGGGAGAGAGGCTGCAAGGTACATTCGCTGAAGCAGAAGGGAGAGGCTGGTTAAAGCTTTGAATGCATGTTTTAACATTTCAATTCTTTTATTTGATTGTTTTATCACGATGTCAGCTATCCAGAGTCGCTCAATAGGCACTGGGTAGCATATAAATGTAATAAACAAAGCAAATAAAAGCAGACACCCTATCAGCAATTTCCCACCGCTTGGGAGGGAGTGTTATTTTACAATCACCCAGATTTCTGAGGCACCACAGAATTAAGAACAGCTTTCTTTAAAGCTTGATTTTAAAGGAAGCTGCTGACTTTTGACTTGGAAAAAGTACAGAGAAGAACAACTAATTTACTAAATTTAATTTACTAACTTATTTACTAAAACACCAGAAGGCGTGACAAGAAGCAATGGATGGAAACTAATCAAGGAGAGAAGTAACTTGAAATTAAGAAGAAACTTCCTAACAGGGAGGACAATTAACAAGTGGAATCACTTGCCTCTAAAAGTTCTGGGTGCTCCATCACTGGAGGTTTTTAGGAAGACACTGGACTGTCACTTGTGTGAAATGGTGTATGGTTCTGCTTGAGCAGGGGGTTGGACTAGAAGACCTCCAAGGTCCCTTCCAGCTCTATTCCGAATTGAATTGAATTGACAAGAGACAGGTAACTTGGAAGCAAGTCCGTAGTTTCCAAGCAGACTTTCACTTTCCATTCCATGCTATCCAAGGTTGGGGAAAGGCATACATTTTCAGTTCTATAAATGCTGCATCTTGTGCTGCCCCAAAGGGCTGCACTGATAAATTAGAAACAGCAAAAAAATAAAAAAGTCCCCCCCCTCCATTTCCAAAACAGCAGAAGGAGAAAAAAATAAAGCAGGCTCTCTTGTGGAAGCTGAATTTCTTGAAAGCTCCACTGCAATTTGCATAGTCTCAGAAAAAAAACTTTAGCTTCCTGGTGTGATCTCTGTCTTTTATTTGGCTTTCTGCTTTATTCCTTTAATTTGTCCATTGTGCCATTTATTTGTTACTGCAGTAGCTGCTGTTTTATTCTGGCACAGGTTTATTAAAACCATTTATTAAAAGGACCCGCTAAGGTCTTCTTATCTCTTTCTTCTCTTTATAATAGGTCAAGTAGTTCATTAATTGCTTTAATTAAGAAGTAATTTACTTTGTTTTTATTTCCAGCCCCAAAAAAGAGAATCCAAAGGCTCTCATCATTAAGAACGGAGTAATTTAGGTAACTGCTTAAAAAAGTTTCCAAGCAGAATCTTTCCTTTTCTTCCATCCTGGATGGAGGGAACCTGAAGAGCAGGACTAGGTTTCAACCAGGCAAATGCCCGGTTCCACTCTGGGTACCCCTAAGATAGGGGTCTGCAACCTTAAACACTCGAAGAGCCATTTGGACCTGTTTTCCATAGAAAAGAAAACACCGGGAGCCACAAAACCTGGGTGGGCGTGGCCAGCTTGACATCACTCACTCCCACCCAGTCACACGAGTCTCCCTGTCTCTCTCTCTCTGTTTCCCAGGGGAGGGAGGGGGAAGGAACCCCTGAACTGATACTGGGTGGTAGGAATCTGACATCAAGAGGCTGACGAGCCCAGGAGCAGCTCACCAAAGACCAGCTGGCCGGAAGAGAGGTGAGGCATCACA